ACTGTATTAATTCTGTACATTTATAGACATACTTAAGTCCAGTAAGTTTATTTTGGTACAGGTATACATAAATGCAGTTGCATATTAACATGTATGTTACAATGTAACAATTTACATATATGTTATATAACATATATGTAAATTACTTGTTATAACTCAAAAAAGTCTTGTTTCCATTGGGGTCCCTGATTTCCATTGGGGTCTTTGATTTCCACTGGTGACCTTGATTTCCATTGGTGGCCTTTGATTTTCATGGGAGACTTGCTGTACTTAAAAATTTGAATAATATGCTACGATCTCACACTGAGTGTACCGACTTAAGCAGCTAAATTATTGGGAGAGTCGTACACCCCTGAAACAGTATTCTAAAATTTTATACCGAGAAAACAGTGAGCGTTTGTAATCTCTTCATTTGTATTCCATAGAGCTTAAGAGAGAAAGGTACATCATACTTTATACATGGATAATCTTGGAGGGACTGGTCCTAAACTTGCACACCGAAATCACTCCATATGGAAACGGGAGACTTGGCAGAAGGTGTAGAATACCCCCAGTAAAAGGCAATGGCGGAACGAGTACACTGAGAGAGAACTCGATGAATGTTAGAGGTTCCCGGTATTTCAACTCCCTTCGTGCATATACCTTTGATATACCTTTGAAGAGTTTCGAGAGTTTATCTATTCTCTGAGCCCGGCCATGGGCCAGGGAAATTACCAACAAAACTCTAGCTGTCTTCAAGATTGAACTTGACAAGTGCCTCAAATCAGTTCCTGACCAGCCGGGCTGTGGTTCGTACGTTGGACTGCGTGCGACCATTAGTAACACACTATTGATCAGGACATGATCCACCAGGAGGCCTGGTCTGGGACCAGACGGCGGGGGCGTTGACCCCTGGAAGCATCCTTCAGGTATACTTCAGGTGTCGGACGGATCTCATATTGTACAATGAAACTAGTCCCACGAGAGAGGAGAGAGAGAGAGAGAGAGAGAGAGAGAGAGAGAGAGAGAGAGGGGAGAGAGGAGAGAGAGAGAGAGAGAGAGAGAGAGAGAGAGAGAGAACAAAAACAGATGAAACTGAGAGATACCACAATAAGCATAAAAAATCCAAGATATTTCAGCGTCTTGCCTCCACGCAAGACACTGGAAGGTAAGACACTGGAAGGTAAGACACTGGAAAGTAAGACACTGGAAAGTAAGACACGGGAAAGTAAGACACTGGAAAGTAAGACACTGGAAAGTAAGACACTGGAAGGTAAGACACTGGAAGGTAAGACACTGGAAAGTAAGACACTGGAAAGTAAGACACTGGAAAGTAAGACACTGGAAGGTAAGACACTGGAAGGTAAGACACTGGAAAGTAAGACACTGGAAAGTAAGACACTGGAAGGTAAGACACTGGAAAGTAAGACACTGGAAAGTAAGACACTGGAAGGTAAGACACTGGAAAGTAAGACACTGGAAAGTAAGACACTGGAAGGTAAGACACTGGAAAGTAAGACACTGGAAAGTAAGACACTGGAAGGTAAGACACTGGAAAGTAAGACACTGGAAAGTAAGACACTGGAAAGTAAGACACTGGAAAGTAAGACACTGGAAGGTAAGACACTGGAAAGTAAGACACTGGAAAGTAAGACACTGGAAGGTAAGACACTGGAAAGTAAGACACTGGAAGGTAAGACACTGGAAAGTAAGACACTGGAAAGTAAGACACTGGAAAGTAAGACACTGGAAGGTAAGACACTGGAAAGTAAGACACTGGAAAGTAAGACACTGGAAGGTAAGACACTGGAAGGTAAGACACTGGAAAGTAAGACACTGGAAAGTAAGACACTGGAAAGTAAGACACTGGAAGGTAAGACACTGGAAAGTAAGACACTGGAAAGTAAGACACTGGAAGGTAAGACACTGGAAAGTAAGACACTGGAAAGTAAGGCACTGGAAAGTAAGACACTGGAAAGTAAGACACTGGAAAGTAAGACACTGGAAAGTAAGACACTGGAAGGTAAGACACTGGAAAGTAAGACACTGGAAAGTAAGGCACTGGAAAGTAAGACACTGGAAAGTAAGACACTGGAAAGTAAGACACTGGAAAGTAAGACACTGGAAGGTAAGACACTGGAAAGTAAGACACTGGAAAGTAAGGCACTGGAAAGTAAGACACTGGAAAGTAAGACACTGGAAAGTAAGACACTGGAAAGTAAGAAAACTGGAAGGTAAGACACTGGAAAGTAAGACACTGGAAAGTAAGGCACTGGAAAGTAAGACACTGGAAAGTAAGACACTGGAAAGTAAGACACTGGAAAGTAAGACACTGGAAAGTAAGACACTGGAAGGTAAGACACTGAAAAGTAAGACACTGGAAAGTAAGACACTGGAAAGTAAGACACTGGAAGGTAAGACACTGGAAAGTAAGACACTGGAAGGTAAGACACTGGAAAGTAAGACACTGGAAGGTAAGACACTGGAAGGTAAGACACTGGAAAGTAAGACACTGGAAAGTAAGACACTGGAAAGTAAGACACTGGAAGGTAAGACACTGGAAAGTAAGACACTGGAAAGTAAGACACTGGAAAGTAAGACACTGGAAGGTAAGACACTGGAAAGTAAGACACTGGAAGGTAAGGACACTGGAAGGTAAGACACTGGAAGGTAAGACACTGGAAAGTAAGACACTGGAAGGTAAGACACTGGAAGGTAAGACACTGGAAGGTAAGAAAACTGGAAGGTAAGACACTGGAAGGTAAGACACTGGAAGGTAAGACACTGGAAGGTAAGACACTGGAAGGTAAGACACTGGAAGGTAAGACACTGGAAAGTAAGACACTGGAAGGTAAGACACTGGAAGGTAAGACACTGGAAGGTAAGACACTGGAAAGTAAGACACTGGAAAGTAAGGACACTGGAAGGTAAGACACTGGAAGGTAAGACACTGGGAAGTAAGACACTGGAAAGTAAGACACTGGAAGGTAAGACACTGGAAAGTAAGGCACTGGAAGGTAAGACACTGGAAAGTAAGACATGGAAAGTAAGGCACTGGAAAGTAAGACACTGGAAAGTAAGACACGGGAAAGTAAGACACTGGAAAGTAAGACACTGGAAGGTAAGACACTGGAAGGTAAGGCACTGGAAAGTAAGACACTGGAAAGTAAGACACTGGAAGGTAAGACACTGGAAAGTAAGACACTGGAAAGTAAGACACTGGAAAGTAAGACACTGGAAGGTAAGACACTGGAAAGTAAGACACTGGAAGGTAAGACACTGGAAAGTAAGACACTGGAAGGTAAGACACTGGAAGGGAAGACACTGGAAAGTAAGACACTGGAAAGTAAGACACTGGAAAGTAAGACACTGGAAGGTAAGACACTGGAAAGTAAGACACTGGAAAGTAAGACACTGGAAAGTAAGACACTGGAAGGTAAGACACTGGAAAGTAAGACACTGGAAAGTAAGACACTGGAAAGTAAGACACTGGAAAGTAAGACACTGGAAAGTAAGACACTGGAAAGTAAGGCACTGGAAAGTAAGACACTGGAAAGTAAGACACTGGAAAGTAAGACACTGGAAAGTAAGACACTGGAAAGTAAGACACTGGAAAGTAAGGCACTGGAAAGTAAGACACTGGAAAGTAAGACACTGGAAAGTAAGGCACTGGAAAGTAAGACACTGGAAAGTAAGACACTGGAAAGTAAGACACTGGAAGGTAAGACACTGGAAAGACACTGGAAAGTAAGACACTGGAAAGTAAGACACTGGAAGGTAAGACACTGGAAAGACACTGGAAAGTAAGACACTGGAAAGTAAGACACTGGAAGGTAAGACACTGGAAAGTAAGACACTGGAAAGTAAGACACTGGAAGGTAAGACACTGGAAAGACACTGGAAAGTAAGACACTGGAAAGTAAGACACTGGAAAGACACTGGAAAGTAAGACACTGGAAAGTAAGACACTGGAAGGTAAGACACTGGAAAGACACTGGAAAGTAAGACACTGGAAAGTAAGACACTGGAAAGTAAGACACTGGAAGGTAAGACACTGGAAAGACACTGGAAAGTAAGACACTGGAAAGTAAGACACTGGAAGGTAAGACACTGGAAAGACACTGGAAAGTAAGACACTGGAAAGTAAGACACTGGAAGGTAAGACACTGGAAAGTAAGACACTGGAAAGTAAGACACTGGAAAGTAAGACACTGGAAGGTAAGACACTGGAAAGTAAGACACGGGAAAAGTAAGACACTGGAAGGTAAGACACTGGAAAGACACTGGAAAGTAAGACACTGGAAGTAAGGCACTGGAAAGTAAGACACTGGAAGGTAAGACACTGGAAAGTAAGACACTGGAAAGTAAGACACTGGAAAGTAAGACACTGGAAAGTAAGACACTGGAAAGTAAGACACTGGAAAGTAAGACACTGGAAAGTAAGACACTGGAAGGTAAGACACTGAAAAGTAAGACACTGGAAAGTAAGACACTGAAAAGTAAGACACTGGAAGGTAAGACACTGGAAAGTAAGACACTGGAAGGTAAGACACTGGAAAGTAAGACACTGGAAAGTAAGACACTGGAAAGTAAGACACTGGAAAGTAAGACACTGGAAAGTAAGACACTGGAAAGTAAGGCACTGGAAGGTAAGACACTGGAAGGTAAGACACTGGAAAGTAAGACACTGGAAGGTAAGACACTGGAAAGTAAGACACTGGAAAGTAAGGCACTGGAAGGTAAGACACTGGAAGTGTCTTCACGAGGGAACTAGAAAGACCCTTCAAGCGTCTTGGTCTCACCAACTGTGGTGCCCTGACTGACCAGGTTAACGTCCAGGTCTGAGACCGGGCCCTCTGAGCGATGGTCCGCTCAACCATCTACTGGTAAACTCACAATAACCATTACAAAAAATATAAGAAACCAATACAATAACCAATACAGCAACCAGCACAACCACCACTACAACGTCTACAACAGTCATCAAAATTACCAGTATATGCACTCATAGTAATCCTTACTTAGGGAGCTCAAGATGCAGGTCACAGTGCCGTGGAAGGTACAGTTCACAGTGTAGTTCGCAGAACCTTGGAAGGTAGCGGTCACGGCGCTGTGGAAGACAGCAGTTACGGTGCTGTGGAAGGTACCGGGCACAGTGCTGTGGAAGGTAACAGTCACGGTGCTGTGGAAGGTAGAGGTCACGGTGCTGTGGAAGGTAGAGGTCACGGTGCTGTGGAAGGTAGAGGTCACGGTGCTGTGGAAGGTAGAGGTCACGGTGCTTTGGAAGGTAGAGGTCACGGTGCTGTGGAAGGTAGAGGTCACGGTGCTGTGGAAGGTAGAGGTCACTGTGCTGTGGAAGGTAGAGGTCACGGTGCTTTGGAAGGTAGCGGTCACGGTGCTGTGGAAGGTAGAGGTCACGGTGCTGTGGAAGGTAGAGGTCACGGTGCTGTGGAAGGTAGAGGTCACAGTGGTGTGGAAGGTAGAGGTCACCGTGCCGTGGACACGAGAGGGGGCCCAGGGACCACTGAACACTGTGTCGTGGTCACCGCTCTCGACACAACTCTGAATTTTGCACGCGACTTGAAACACACCCAAATCTTGCCCACCATAGTTAGTTTGTACATTATCTGATACGCCTTATCATACCGCCACTAACCTCGCCTCCCTCCCAGGGAAACATTAACTATTATTTCTAGAAGTCTTTAAGAAACACATACACTGAGGACAGTAATGACAACTGAAGTAGTTCTCGTGTACGAGTCTACACTGATTTCTTGTGTATAGGACATAGGTCCTTTCAAGGAAGCTTGGCTTTGAGGTTGCTAATGGGCTCTTGATCCAATGCATTGGGGCTTCCTTCCCCCGCCCCTCCCCGGGCACTTTCTCTGAACAAACCTGGAGCGCAGGCTAGAAAGATTCCTCATAATCTACACCTGGAAAATCCTAGAGGGACTGGTCCCAAAACTGGACACAGAAATCACTCCCTACGAAAGCAAAAGATCGGGCAGACGGTGCAACATACCCTTAGTGAAAAGCAGGGGTGCCATGAGTACACTAAGAGAAAACACAGTAAGTGTCCGGAGCCCAAGACTGTTCAACAGCCTCTCACTGAGTATAAGGGAAATTATCAATAGACACCTGGCTGCCTTCAAGGGGGAGCTGGACAGATACCTAAAGTTGGTACCCGTACGTTCGTACGTTGGACTACGTGCTGCCAGCAGTAACAGCTTGGTTGATCAGGCCCTGATCCACCAGTAAGCCTGGTTAAGGACTGGGCCGCGGGGGCGTTGACCCCCGAACACCCTCCAGGTAGACTCCAGGTAATTACCTCCTATTTTTCTTAGCGAGTCTCCGCTATGAAAAATATTTCAGTTGTGGGTAGCATCAGAATATAAGAATGGAGGAACACTGCAGAAGGCCTACCGGCCCAAACTCGCAGATCCTTTTAAGTATGTCGCTCTGCTGGATTCAGCAGATCGGGCCCCTGGAGCCCTGACTTAGAGAGTTGAATTGGAGTAGGTGCTTTACCTGTGGGTAGGTTCTATAGTATTTATACTTTCGCTGGCCAATACCCTGGCTTGATCAGCCTGGCTGTTACTAGTGGAGAAAAGCATAATCACACAGGTATCACGACTCAACTGTGATGAAATGGGTGATTACTGCAGTGTTGTTGATGGTGAGCTGGTGACCCTGCTGCTCTGTGAGTGCAGTGATGGTTGTTGTGGCCCTGCTGGTGCTGGTGCTGGTGCTGGTGCTGCTGGTGCTGCTGGTGATGCTGCTGCTGCTGCTGCTGCTGATGTTGTGAGTACATCAATCTCAATCTATTTTGTTACTGTATATCCCTTATTGTTTATCTACTTTGAATAGTTTACACCCCACTGTTAACAGTGCTGCTGCTATCACTGCTGGTGAGGCTGCTGCTATCACTGCTGGTGATGCTGCTGCTATCACTGCTGGTGATGCTGCTGCTATCACTGCTGGTGATGCTGCTGCTGCTGTTGCTTCTTCTGCTATTATCACTGTTAGTATTGTTTTTTCTGCTGCTGCTGGTGCTATCAATTTTGCTGTTATCGATGGTTGTGATGCTGCTGCTATCGTTCCAAGTGATGCTGCTTAGTGACTCTGTCAGCATTCATAGTCCATGAGTATTAAACCTGTTACCAGCAAATATAAGAAACTTGGCCACAAGCTTGGCCCATGGCCAGGCTACGGAGCAGGGAAAAAACTGGAAACTTCTCACAGATGACCACAGAAGGTAGAACTTTACAAGAGACCACCGGAAGATTATCTGTTGGTAGTGCATGCTCAATCAGGTTGCAATGGAAATAGACATGTATGCGGATATTTAAGACATTTATTAAGGAGACGTTACACCCGTCAGGTAAGGGGCAGCGAGCTTGATCCAATACAGAGAACACTTCTAAAAGGCATTCGAGTTGTTTATTGGTTTGTAGTGCCCGACCATTCCCTAGGATGCCACTCACAACGACCGACAAGGACAGTGGGTATAAGGAGACTCGCCCATATGTGTTGACCTGCCCAGGATGGTGTGTGTGTGTGTGTGTGTGTGTCAGGGCATGGTGTAGTACGAAGCAGCAGCTGGGACGGACTCATGTTTGTTTTAGTATATTAAGAAACTAAAGGAGCTGTGGACTACTGAATTATGTAAGGAGACCTAAAAAAAAAATGAATCTGGCATTAGAGGATAAAAAGACCAGGAAACCATGATAACGAAGCATAAAATAATCTAGAGAACTTGAAAGGGTGGACATGACTGCTTGAGAGGCACAGATGAGCCACAGTGGATGTCAGGAAGTATTTATTGAGCCTCAAGGAAGTGGAATGACCTGGATGTTGTGTGAGAAGAGGCAGAGTCTATACATACTTTAAGAATAGGTACGATAACGCCCACGAGGCTGAGAGGGAATGAAACCAGGAACGGGAAGGTTAAGGGAAACCAAGAGCTGGGACTCGACCCCTGCAGCCACAAGCAGGTTATGTAATAAGTGTAATAAGCACCGAACAATAAATATGTATACTTATTTTCTTTGTGTTGGGGCTACTTATTTACAAAAAAGTGAGAGGACATACATAGCGTATGTGAAGGAAGGGTAGATAGGTGTCAGGATGAGACAGGTTACAGCAACAAGTTTAAGAAGGTGTCCCGTGGCCTGGTGGCTAAAGCTTTTGCTTCACACGGTGAGTGTCCGGGTTCGTTTCCCTGCGAGGGTAGAAACATTGGGCTTGTTTCCTTACACCGGTTGTCTATGTTCCCCATCAATAAAATGGGAACTTGGGAGTTAGTCGATTGGTGTGGGTCGCATCCTGGGACAAAACCGACCAAATTTGCCCTAAATGCTCTGCATAACAAGCGGCTTTCTATATAGTAGTATGGCATTGATGTCAGCTATGCCCAGTGGCGTGCAGAGGTCTGGTGATGCCCGGGGCCAACTCCTTGATTGCATGCCCCAAATCACTATCTTAATTCCCTCTCTAATTGGATCCCCCCCCCACTTGGATGCTCGGGGCCACCACCCCTTCGTCCCCCCCCCCTCCGCACGCCACTGGCTAGGCCTGTATACCCTGTACATGTGCTTATAAAAATAGAGATATTATATTATAAGCGCCAGCAAAGGAAAACTGGTTGTAGAGGCTAGAGAGCATCATAACGGTAATCCACACACAATTTTGTCTTCACTAGGCTCTCCAGCCCCTTCAGGCAAGTTTCTGTGCCAAAATAGAAAAGCCGTACCACTTGCTACTGCGTTATCCGAGGCCCTCGCCCTCACTCAACACTGGTACAAATAACCTTTTTTATACATCCCCGATAAGAATGACAATCTTATCTCTCCTCGCAAACAACCCTTGTGACGCATTACTACCACTACCATCCAATGTCACATTTCTCAGACGCCTCGAGTACCCTCACTGAAACCTCTCGCACCAGAATATATAAAACAATTGTAATCAATAATATTGGAGGTTGAGACCTAGTGATTACTTCCTCTATAATATGGCGGCAAGAATGATCTACATGTACAAGGAGGTTAAGATTAAAGCTTCTAATCAAGTCTTTACATAAAATGAAGCCTCATGATGAGCCACTTCAATGCAATTATTGTCAACAAGGGAGACAATACGTAAGGAAAGGTCACCTTCAAGGACTTCTCCAAATTAGATGATTGCTTTCGGGAAGGTGGCCCAGAATTCTGGGAAGCAAGATACCGATGTTTAATCATAGACGTCCCCCCTCTCCCTACCTCCCACCCCCACACACGCACGCAAACCTCGTGTAAGAGGCAGTGGACGAGAGGTCTTTATGCAAGCAGCTCTCAGAACTCAGGGAACAATACCAGGAACGTCTTATCAGGTCTGACGCCTGTACCGCTCGGGCAAAAGTCTAACACACTCTCGCTATTAGGACATTTGATGCTGGAGGCTGTTTGACGTGAGTTCAATTAAAACGGAGAAAGTAAATCATCATGCGATAAGAGTCGATACCAAAGTGAGATGTAAAAATGAGTTTGAACAGCGAGAGAAGCCTGGAACAGGGCTGACCAATGAGCTACCTGGGAGAGATGGAGTGTGCAGCAACGTGCTCAGAGTAGCCGGCGAGATCACTCTTATCTAGTGATAACATATCTGAGTGTTGTGAGGTGGTGTCTGCACACAGTTCAAGCCCCCTGAGAGCCCTTCCTCTCCCACTCATCCTTATCGAGTACGAATGAAGGAGTTTTTAACAAGATTAGATACATCTGCAGTAAGCTGCTACTCTATTCTATAAATTAATTTCACTGTAGGAACAAAAGCTAGGGATATTTATTGTCATATTCCATAAGGCAGGATGACTTTTTTTCGTCGAAAGTCTTCAGGTTAACCTAGGCGATTACAGTAAAATGGCGGGGATATTGTCAATCACTCTGCTGTGGGTTCAGTAGCTACGGCAGCCTCCAGGATTTCATTCCAGAGAAGCTGGAATAACGATTACCCAAGGATTGCCATCTTTCACAATGTGGGAGGATGAAGTGGAAGATGGATAGAGAGAGAAACTAGATGGTGATCCTTGGTTTAATTTCTGCACGAACAAAGCCACGACGAGAATAAAATATTAGTTACTGTGGGTTATGTTAGGTTTTGTCAGCACAATAATTATGTACATATCCACAGGATAATGAATTAGACACATGTGAAACACCTGGGTACCTGTATTTGAAAACGTTCAGCCAAGCAGTGTGTTATTCAGTTCGATACAGAGATAATAAACAAAGATAACAGAAGAAGAGGCAATCAGTTCCTCAGTCTGGAAGCCGGTGTCCAGCGCTTAGTCTAAACGAAGATAGTACTGGACATATACAAAATCAAACACAGGCGAAGTGTCTGTCGATAAGGGCCCTTGGTAAACGGTAAAACACACACACACACACACACACACACACACACACACAATGAGAGGGAGGGGTGGGGTGATTGCATTTTCTGGGACTTCAAGAAGGCCTTCGACACAGTTCCTCACAAGAGATTAGTAAAGAAGCTAGAGAATCAGACACATATAACAGGAAGGGCACTTCA